ACGGCTTCTACACCCAGGTCCAGTCGTTCAGCTCCATGAAGGTCGCGGGGGGGACGTCGCGCGTCATGGTGGTTGCCGGGGGGTCGGGAATGACTTCTCTCATGGGATTCATCCAGGTGAGAGGGTACGAGGGTATTTTGGCGGCGGTCCCATTCCCAGGGATCGGAAGTTGGAATACAAAGTCTACGGCGACAGCTCGGTACCGGGAGCCTCAGTTTGTGTTTTCAAGAGGTTGGGCAGCGCCGGCCATGCTACCTTACACACAGGCGACGTTTATGAACGAAACAAATGCGTCATGAGAGCGTTATGTGCCCTTGAAGAGTGGTACGTAGCGACCACCAGTGGTGCAGGATTTTCAATGCGCCCCGTCGGTCCTGACCCTCTTTCTCAGGACTGGGCGGTCGCCGCAAGGGAAGGCGCCGACGTTCCGGAGGTAAACCTGGCCTGGTGCTGCCGGTACATGTCGGAGATGGAACTGGTCGGCGAGTGTCTCCCCTCCGTGCTCGCCAGCGCCGGCAGCAAGAAGGACACGCACTTCTCGATGTCCCTCTACTGCAGCAGCAGCAAGGTGTGCCCTGCCGAGCTGTTGTTGTTCTCGGTTTTCCGCGTAGCTTCTGTCACCCGGTGCCGTCAATATACTCTGCAGCGGCGAGATAGGCGCGATGGCGAAGCCGCAAAGCTTTGTCGTTGTGGGCAAGCACAACTAGTCTCAATGCAGTTGCACTAAAGGGCCGTTGGAAAAGTAGTCTAACCCTTGCTGGGTTTTCACTACTGCGGCTCGGAAAATGGCATCGACGCTCGCTAGAATATGCATTTCTGGAACGTGAAGATCGCACCTACCCCAATCTCAGGTTTCCTCTCGCGCCCTGTCCGTCTGTACGTCTATCTCTCTCCCTCCCTCTCTCTGGCTCTCTGGCTCTCTGGCTTCCCTGAAACTTCTTCGCCCCAACACCGATGGCGAAACAATCGCCCAACATCACCAAAGGCTGACAGCAACGAATCTCTCACCGTCACATGGCCCCTGGACGCGAACGCCTACGCCCACACTAGCACCCAGGATAACGTCATCGGCACCGGCCACGTCGCCGCCAGCCTCAACCACAGCGTTCGCGTTGTCGTGGCGGGTGAGAAAGCAACACGTCAACATGTGTACACCATGTAAAGCCAAACGCAATGTGGTGGCCATCTCATGTTGATACTTGATTGTGTTTGTCCACCCTGTAGGGCCCCGCACACTACCGAGTCGGACGAAAGGCCTCCGGAAATTTCCCAACAACGGCATTTTGTTGTGTGCGACCACATGCGTGGGAGGTAACCAGCGGTAGTTGGTGTTGGCCGAGGTCCTCCACGCGGAGAAATACGCGATTAATAGTTAAGTGTGTTGTTTCGTCAGGTGCCCAGGGAATCGGCCAGACACCGTCAGTAATGTTCAGAGTCCAAAACAACTTTGGTTGTTTCACTCTGTGCCGGCCAACAAACCAGCACAGTACCGGGCACCGGCACTAAACAGGCCTTTCCCACTGTACCACCAATGCATACGACATGACAGGTCTCGCCGCTTTCGCGGGATACATCCTGGGCTACTGGGAGGTGGACCGACGGGACCTGATGAACGTGTTCCACGAGGGGGCCATCATCTTCGTCCTCATGGTGATCTGCATCATCAGCTCCCTGATCGTGTACGATTGGCTCTTCTTCTTAGTCCGTAAGCACCTCCTCGGCAAGCGTGTGGACAGCGCCGAAGCATCGCAGGTGAATGGGAGTCCGCAAGCCGTTGTTAATGTTTTTGGTCGATACGGCATTACGCGGTGGTGCTACGCTTTCGCGGGATCCGTCACGTGATCCTTCGTGTAATCGAGAATTGATCATATCACGATCGAGTCAGGTGCTGCTTGTGTTCCGTGGAACACGCCGAAGCATCCCCGAGGGGGGGGCGCAGCCATCATGTCTGGTTGGTTCATGATACTGCTAGATCTTGTTTCTGCAACCGTTCCCCTTCCTAAATTCGCCTTGTCGCAACCTACATAATATTGTCGCTGTGTTCATTTAACTCGAGGTAACCGCCTCTTCTTCTGATAGACACGGACAATATGGCACTGCTGCTTCAACAGCCCCCCACTGTGCATCCTCATTATTTCGCCTCGTTATCGCACACCGTCGTCATTGCGGCCGCTCACTCATCACCAACCCCGTATACCTTCATCAACGCCATTTGTTTTAGGCCGGCGGGCGCTCCGCCAGAGTCGGCGAGGAGTCCAAGATGGACCTCGAGTCCTCCACCGTGGCCGGCGTCGGCAGCGTCACCTACGACGTCAACCCGGGCCGCGTGCCCACGCAGGCCCTCCTGATCCGGGAGGCCGAGCTCGCCAAAAAGAGCAACACCTCGTCCGTCAGGGTCCTGACCAGCGGACCCAACTCGCTCGTGGACGGGGTGCTCGCCGAGTCCCGCGCGATCGACTGGAAGCTCTTCGACACCGAGGCGTTCTCGTTCGAGTTCTAATTTTGTTTTTCCCCGGCCTTTCTCCCTCCCGTGGTTTATGTATTCGGAAAGATTGTCCCGTCTTTCTCACGTCAGAAGACGCCCAGCTCCTCCGGGTGCTGCGGCGACACTCTTCAAGTAACCTACGCCGGCCGCGCAATCGAGTGTTTTTGTATTTATCGGTCTCGCTTTCTATAATTTCGTCGGGTCTTGCGTGACAAGAAGACGCGACCGACCCTCTTGGGGAGAATCGTTGAGGGCGTGAAGACAATTATCGGGCAGGGGGCGGGGGCTGTTGCCTTTATGAAGCGTGACGAACCAAGGTTTCATTGATTGGCAGTTGCAGATGCCGCCACAAGTTTTTTGTCGTTGTAACAAGTCGTAATTGTTGTATATTTCATAGTCGTTGCACAGGACGACGACAAGACGGAGTCTCACCCAAACATAACATATGGCACGCGCAGTTTTTTGTTGATGTGAGAGCTCAGGCAACAACCGGAACTCAGTATTATAGATACCTGGAGGAGTGGGTGACACGGGTTTGTTTGCATTTTGTACGAAGTCTAATGAGGGTCATGGCATTTTCGCTACAAGTATGGCCAGATTTCGTGGGTTATGTAATAAGTTTCCTTGGATGTAGCATTGAGGGTTGGCCTATTTGGCACAGGATGACACGACATGATGGTGTTCCCTGGATTACATGTTTTGCCCCTTGTCGAATGTTCATGGCGTGAGGGGTCGAAGGTCCTACCCAGCGGTGCGGCAGACGTGACCGAAAATGGTTGACGCAGTGGTGCAGACGGTCCGGGCGACAAAATACACATACATACATGCATACCACAACATCCAACGTTTTGGGGTTTTCAAACACCACGCGTAGCATGTGTGCGCTCGTTCTGTAGGGCAGTCGTCACCGAGTTTGAAGGTCTCTGCCGATGCCAACCTTATGGCTCGTCGTGTTATTCGCAACCGACCTCTAAGACGAGAACATTCACTCATGAGTGAGCTATGATAGCAAGTTCTCTCAATGACTAGACTACAGTCTGTTTTCTTTTTCTTGCGCCACACTTGGAAAGATTTATTATTTTTTTCCATTCTAATAACAAGAAATGTATCACGTCACGACGACCATCCTGTGGGTATACAGATAACATGATATGCGGGAGGTACCCGACACTAAAGGGAGGAAATCTTACCTACCAGCTTCCCTCTCTCTGTCTCAACGATAAGAATGGCGTTCTTTCAGCAGCCGCGTGGACCCACTGCTACGAGGGCTACATCGGAGATGAATATATCCAGTGCTTCTTCTCTGTTCTTTTGGACGCAAAGAAAGCGTTTTCGTGGTTATCCCTGGTTATTGTGTTGATTTTTGAATTTCTACAGCACTATGGCCGAGGCGCCGCCTGTAAATAGAAGTAGTACGAGTGTCGACTTAGTTGTGCTGTCACGGCATCTTCCAGGCACTTCTGCCAGTGCTGGTTTGTTGATCGGAGTCTTGTAGGTCGAGATGCAGCAGTGGGATTCTCGGGTTGTGGAGGCAAAAGCCTGCCTGAACCAAAGCAAAAAATTGCATGCATAGCTCGATTAGCTACTACTACAGCAGTATCCCGCTCAACTTTTTTTTTCTTGCGACATGGTTGCATATTTCTTTGCCACTGCCGAAAAGACCGCTGGATCTATGTGGAGTCCATCTTTCGCATTTATCATTTTACACCGAACGACGCAGGACCCGTCGACCTTCATATCATGCCCACCTTCGACTTCCTTATCGACTACGCGAACTCATCACAACACTACACCGTAGTTCACCAGCAGAGGACCCAACAAGAACATGTCGCAGGCGCTGCCAATTGAAACGGGTTTCTTCTTTGATGTACCTGCAAAGATTTGCACCTTTTGGGGACAGCTGCAGTGGTTGTTCGTTCAGCGGCCGACCCACCAGACCCCGTGAGGATGATGCGTACTTCGGAATTACAGGACGACCGAGTACGTGTTGTGCGCACTGCAAACGACACCAAAAACCATGATCGTGCGTCTGAGTGTCCCAAACATGTATCAGGCTGAAACAACCGGACGCCAAGGGTAGAAAAAGGCTCGTATGGCACAACTTTCGGTGCACATCAGCATCAACTGATGAAGTAAGAAATATGACACCCAAACAGCAATCGGAAAAATTTGAGTGTTATTTTTTGGGCCTTCCCAACGATTCCGAAACATCATACCCACGTCATTCACACGTCCAGCCCCACCAATGCAGGTTTCTAGCGTTCAACCTCACCACACAGCCACACAGCGCTCTACCCCGCAGGGTACACCCCCCAACTCATGACCGATCCAGGTGATCGCGGCAGCAACCGCCGGCGAGACGCCACAAACACAAGCAACCACCGGTACCGAGTTGTCAAAGCCACCGACATACACACGCATCTCGGGGCTCATCTCGGGGCTCATCTCGGGGCTCAGCGTGCTGCCTCCGCCGATGCCCTCAACGCCCATCGTAGAGCACAATATCCCGCGTCAGCAGACGCCATCAACAGCCGCCGTCGTAGAAGTCGCCATGCCACCAGAGCACCACAGCTCAACGCCGCACATCGACAGCGTCATCAATAACAAAAGGGGGTCGCCCTTGTGCGAAATCTTTCAGACCAAGGACGACTCCACCTCATTACGGGCGGTGATTGGAGACCGCCTGCGAGCCTTGGAGGAGGCGCGACGAGACCAGGGCATCACAGCGCAAACCGGAGATCCTTGCCCACATTGTGGCGCCAAACTGTTCGCCAAAGAGTCCGAGGGCGTTTGTTGCAAGAATGCGAAGTGCATCCTCCCTCGAGTGCCGTCGCTCCCACCTTCATTGAAAGAGTTGTAAGATTCTCAGGAGCCATCAGCGCAGAGAGGCTCAGGAAGGAATCGAGGATGTATAACTGCCGATGCAACTTCGCCGCGCTCAACGTGGAGGATGGCGAACTCAAAAAAATGTTCGGGTTTGATCTCTTGTCCGTCCAAGGGAGGTGAGAACGATTGATACGTGCAACGATACATGCGGCTGTTGTATGAATAGAGGTGTAGATGACTTCATGTGGTCTTTCATTTCTGTTTTTCTTGGTGGTACAAAACACAATTGGTCCGTAGGATAGCGTATGGCATAGCGGTGTAGATTTACTTCGTGTAATCTTTCGTATCTATCTTTCTTTTGTGTTCAAAAACACAAAAAATCCATAGAAAAGCGTATGTTCGTCTTTTTTTTTGTACGACGCAATACCCGTACACCTTCCGTGTTCGTGTTGAGTACACGTATCGACTTTCTTTGCTCTCCGGTCTCATCCCTTTGTTCTTGGCTTTCATTCTGCTGCCGTCGTATTCATTTTACACGCATCAAGCAGCACTGACCCCCTTCTCTGAGGTATTTCCCCCGATAACTGCTGCTGGATATTTTTTTCAAGTCACCTTCAATTCAATTTTCGTCATGAATTCTCCCGAATTTCTCAACCTTGCCACTATCAAAGTGTGCTCACACGCATCCTCCACTGCCTACTTCAATGTTGCCACCATTGCGTTATGGGATTTGAATGAAGACAGTGCCCAACGGTATTGCGGAGTAATTCCCAGAAGAAAGTGCGGGAGATGTAACTCCCGATGGAAGGATAAAACAGGGGACAGGACCTTTCTTTGTGGCCCCTTTTAGAGGGAGCATGTCCTCCCCTTCTGTGCCCAGTCTACGTTTGAGAGCAAGGCAACAGCAAGCTCTGCTGTTCCAAGAGATCAATAAACAAGTGAGTCTTCATCAGATCGCTACGCGTGTACTCCCACAATATTTGGCGTGTCTGCAGTAAAGGATTTTTAGGTTTCTCTCGACTGTTGTTCTCTGCTGGCGTGGCGCTGTAGCTCTATTTCTCTTTTTTTGTGTGCTCCGCCACTGGCTATTGTTGTGAACGCGTGGTCGCAGTTGCTCTTCCTTGGCATGTCTCAGCGTAGGAACGGCAGTGAGGACTCAAAGTCCGCCAGCCCTGCCAGTTCTCTGCAGTCGGTTCCTCCCCTACCGCCTGGTTCGCCAGAGGCGCTGCCTGCTGTATCACATGTTGATTCTGCAGTCGCCTCGGCCTTTTTCGACCGCGCTCTGTATGCGCCACATGATAGTGTTGGTGCTCGCGTCGCTGATCCTCAAGAAGAGGTCGCACGTCTGTCTGAGCTTCGCTCTGAGGCCAGGCGTGTCCGCCTTTTCCAAGAGGATGAGCGTGCTCGTGGGGCTATAGCCGTGTACGTGCGCGTAAACCGGCTGCTCCCTCTGTATCCACTGGTTCTGCTGTTGATGCCGTTCATACCCCCACCGGAACATCTCCGTCTCCTTTTGAGACTTCTGTTTCTGGTGATGATGCGGCGGCCACTGGTTTTGCTGTAGTAGCCACCCACCCCTCTGATGTGCGTTCAGTCGCAATAGGAGCCCCTCATTCACCTTCCGATGTGCGTTCAGTCTCACTAGGAACCTCCGATGTGCCTTCAATTGCACTAGGAAATGTCCCCATTCCGCGTGACGAGCTTCTTCGTGTTCCGTTCTGCAGCGGATGACGGGACTGTCGGGTTTTCTGACGGTGTACAACATTCCGCCGCATCCGCTGTTGCAACTGCTTCGCGTAGGACGTCTCGCGATGCGTCTGCTCCTTGCAGTTCTAGTACTCGTTCTGATGTGCGTTCAGTGGCATCAAGGACCATCAACACCTCTCGAGGTGTGCGTTACGATACGCCTGCTATTAACCATGTAGCAAAATCGCTGACCCCTGCTCGAGGAAACAGCACGGGCGCTCGGCCGGAACATACTGATGCTAGTGTGACCGCCGTCCGAGTGTCCGCTTCTCAGAGTTATACCTCTAAGAGTAGCAGAGAGCAGGCGCTTGCTCGTGATGATCGTTGCCAGGCTCGCAATGCACACGCTGTAGCTTCTGCTAACCATGTGCCTGCTCCGCCCCCCATCCTTTCTTCCGCTCATGAACGTGCAGCTACAGCAGCTGCTCTAGAACAAGTTCGTCTCGCCGAAGCTCGCAACGCGGACCTGCTCCGAGCACTTCAAGCTATGGCGACCTCTGCACCGACGACTTCCTCCGACTCCACGCCCCCTACGGGATCTCCTCGTCGTCACCTAAAGGAGGACACGGAATCGGCAGCGCTCTCTTCACCGGCCTTGCGCGAGGCCACCACGGGTCCTGAGAGCCGTCATCGAGCCGAGTGCCCCGCGGCGCCCGTGCTCATGGCCTCTTCGGCGACTGCGGCTGTCACCCCCGCCGCTGCTGCCGCTGCTGCTGCTACTGCCGCTGCTGCTGCTGCACCTGCGCCTGCCACCACGGCGCCTCCGCCTGTTGCCGCTCCACCGATTGCATGCCCGCCGCTCCTCGACTATCTCAGCGCCCGCTGGCATACGTTTCCCCGAGAAATGCAAGCGCTACTGGCCTCTTCGGAGGCTGAGGCGGCCACCTGCGCTGCAGTGGACGGTGTCCGGGCCGATCGCTTGGCCCGGGCACAACAGCTAGAGGATGAAGCCGATCACGAAGAGGAACTCGGAATCAAGAACGCCCTGGGCTCTACGGAGGGCGTCACCCTGAAGGTCGCCGCCGACCTTCACGACACCGAGGCGGCCATAGCTGCCTTACAGGCGAAGCATGCTTCGCTGACGACGGCGCCGCCGCCGTCAAAGAGGAAGGATCCCGCCACCGGTGCGAGCTGGAAGCCTTCAAGGGGCGTCGTCAGCGGCGCCTTCGGGCACCCGGTTCCGGCGCCAGCTCTAGGGCTTCATCGGTGGAGCGAGACACCTTCCCGGCGCTTCCATCACGGGCGCCGCGGGCGGCGTCGTCTCCCACGGCTCGCCGCGGGGTGTCGTACGCTGCAGCTGCCCGCAGCCCCACCACGCGAGGCAGCGAACGCTCGCTCGCCTTTCGGAAGGGCGATGCTGCCTTTTCGAAGGGAATATTGAGGCACATGGCTCAACATGTACAATTCACTTTTCAAGAATCGAACCGGGAGCGCGTGCTCCGTGCGGCGGAGGCTGTGGCGAGGAAAGTGTGGGAGATGTAACTTCCGATGGAGGGTTAAAACAGGGGACAGGACCTTTGTGGCCCCTTTTAGAGGGAGCATGTTCTCCCCTTCTGTGCTCAGTCTACCTTTGAGAGCAAGGCAACAGCAAGCACTGCTGTTCCACGAGATTAATAAACAAGTGAGTCTTCATCAGGGTCTTCAGGGATCGCTACGCGTGTAATCGGGTGTATCTACAAGGAAGGGCTCGGACCGATCTTCTGTCGCCATCACCCCAGTGGCCAACGACACCATTGACATCATCAAGCAATGGAAATGATTGCGTTGTTTAACCGCGACAGAAGCGGCATGGAGATGCACCATCAACGACATGCACTTCCGCCTACCCGCTGCCGAAGGTAAACATCGAAATATTCGTGCGATACAAGGAAGGATCGTTCCACGACGCAAACGTCGACTTCTCCGAATTTTGTATATTCCTTTCGCACCCTTTCTTGCGGCGGTTTTCGCACCGACTTAAAACGTGGGGTGCAATTTCCTCTCTTCGTACCTTCCTCGTCGGCCTTCTCCATCGTCATGTACATAATGTATACCTCCATTATTCGGCTCTTCGATTACCGATCGACAGGACTACGGAGTGACATATCCCTTTCACCCCCGACGGGACCGCGCGCTCGCCAAGTGCGGAATTCTTCACCACTTCTTTGCCCCTCCCAACACCGTCCCTTCTTCCCGCCCCTACAAATCCTCTTCCCTCTTCTTCTTCTTTCCTTACTCCCAGACACTCACCACCATTCGTCCTGGATGTTGGCCCCCAAATCCTTAACCCCAGTTACCCAATACGCGAGAAACGAAAACAACGAAAACAACTGTCCACTCGACTCCCGCATCGAGCTCACTGCTTGATCGCAGGTTCGAAACACCCAGAAATTGACGGGCCAAGGGTGCAAAGCTCTGTACGGACACGTCCCGACTACATGACGGTGAATCACCTCCCCCTCTCCCAGGCTACATCTTGCTCCTGCACGCACGGAACAGGCCGTCCGACACCAAAAAACTGCCAAACCAACAGCATTGTTTTCGAAATCGGCAGCAACGATCTATCGAACATTCCAGCGGCTCCGTTGAACGTTAGAGAGAATTTCGAGTCGGGCGAGCTTCAACGACGCATAATAGCTGCGACTAGCCTTTTCCCACGACGATGCCTGAGTGCTGTAGGTTGGCTGAAACGCGTTACGTTCCATGAGCAAGCGCTATCGATCCCATGCTATCCACTTACCATGCGGCAATCACCCATCTTTGGCTCATGCTGGTGGAGGTTTTTTGCGCGTCTTCAACTGTACAGCAGTCTGAGTCTAGACGAAGAAGCTAAGCAAGGCCCCGAAAGATATATTGTAGCAACATTCAACCGGCGACGCAGCAAATAGCTACAACAGCAGTTGTGAGATCACAGGTTGTTGGATTTTGGCTCTTTGAATTATCTTGCAAAAAAAAAAAGGATTCGGAAACAGTCTAACAGGTCGTGACACTTTCATTCGCAACTGCAAACGCTGCTGCGAAAAAACCTGCCCCGTACACGCGCAACCCACTCAGGCACACAACTCATCACTTCTCCTATTCTCAACTAGCACACCCTTTGCGGTAGACCCGTTGTTGTCGCCAGTAACTCATCCCCTGCGCCCATCATCATGGGGTCCGATGGAGGGATTAGGTGTGCCCTGACCGCCATCCGCGTTGCCAGCTACGGCATGCTTGGATATTGCCTCTTCTACCTGGCCATGTTCATCGGCAAGTGGTACGAGGGCACCATCCTCCCCGGCGACGAGCTCGAGCTGGTGTTGGACAGCGAGGACGCCGACCTCGACGGCTCGGCCGACCTCTACATCAAGCACTCCGACACCTCCAAGTTCATCTTTATCGGTCTCCCGATCATCTTGACGGCTGCCCTAGGCGGGGTGTACGAAGCCTTGTGGAAGCGGCGGGAGATCCGATCCACCCAGGAACACCCGGACAGCGCTGCTGCGGGAGAGGAAGAGGACAGCAAGCCGGGCATCTTGGCGTTCTTCCACAGCGTCGTGCACTACCAGTACCGACCCTTGGGCCAGTACTCCCCGTGAGTTCTTTAAGCAACAGCCCAAGCAGAACAAATCTTTAGTCACCTTTAGTCACCTGCTGCCGTTGTGACAAACCTGTGTGTGTGTGGTGTGTCGCACCAAACCTGTTAAATGTGCATGCACATGTTTATGGACGGGTGATGCCGTTCCCTCGACGCCCTCGGAAAAAAATGTCGCGCAACAACACACAGCACCGGGCTCGTGGGGAGAGAGAGAGCAAGCCCGTCACCATCGCCTGGTCAACATGCTGTAACCACGACGCGTGCTTTTCAAGAAAACTGCTGCTACGTGGTGCACTCGCTCCCCTGGCGATGCCCACGAGAAATGCGCAACGACTTTGGGGCGCCACGCGACACGATCTATCTTCCTGATGACGCATTTCTTTCTGTACTGGCCAATCAGGTGGCTAACCGTGGGCGAGACCACCGTGCTTACCCTGTGGCTCCTCGCCATGGGATCCCAGTGCTGGCAAGGTTAGTAGTGCAGAGAGAGACCCCGCCCCCTTTCAGGCCGAGCTTTTGGTCGGTGAACTCCTCGCTGGTAGCCGTCACAGAGAACTGCTGCAGCGAGCCGTGTCTTTTCTTCAGTGGATCCGGAAATTATTCTCCGTTTATCTTGCAGTTGCTGCACGCATGCTATGATGCAGCCACTCGTTTTCGGCCCACCAAAACAATGATGAGGGACCAAAAGGCCGTTTTCTGTTGAAGTCCCGATCGAACGGGTATTCTTTCTTGCATGGGTCTATGACACGCAGATTTGTATGAATGAAATTCTCCGCTCTTTGTCCTCTCCCTTGCTACGGACGCCGTCACGCTCCAGGGGTGCTGAACCACGGCAACCACTTCCATGATATCTACATGGTGTGCCCTGACGATCCGACCCAATGGTGCAACCAGTTCTCTTTCGAGTCCGGAGGGCCTACACCGAACCAATACAGGTAAGTTCGTCGTGTTCGGTTCTCGATTTGTTTCGGACAAGAAAATATTTGTGTTTCGTCTGTGTGTCGACGTTGTGTGCCGCACAAAATGAATATTCAATCAATCAATCGTGCATGCTTCTAGACTACATCGGACGAATGACGAAACACGTGGTGTTGCAAAGGACGGTTCACCACAACCAGACAGAGTGAATATGTCAATTCCACCTCTGTAACTGAGCGCGTATTGATTGACAGCCTGTTTGCACCAGTCCGTACCACGAAATGACGCAATTTCATTCATTGTGTGAGTGAAACATCATCGACGATGTAAGAAAATGCGCTGAGGCTACGGTTCAGGTGCCACGTCGGTGCAAGAAATGGACCCAAACTGATGGTCCGATAATCGACGGCTAAGCCGCATAATACAATCTAAATGTAAAGACTGCCCGCTTGAGGAAGCATCCCATTCGGGATGTGTTGGGGGCAGCAGTGGTGGCGTCATTACGTCGAGGGTTGATTGTGGAAGAAAGTTTGTTTTGATTTCCCATCCGAAGGGTGGCGCATTGCTTGTGCTGATCGCCACCGGCGGATCGCGGCATTATAGCTCGTTGTTCTTCTCTTCTTCCCGTTGCCTTCCAAACACGTTTCGCATCGCCACGTTGCCTCGTGAGTTCTTAAGGATATACTTTCCACCCCGGTGGTCTAGTGCCTAACCTGGTAACTCACGTTGTAGTGTCAGTGACTTCGATTGTCTCTCGGGAGTGACGAAAAGCTACGATTTGTCCGATTTGTCGTACAAGCCAAGCCACGTTCTTCCGCTCGGTAACCAAGCCACGTTGCACGTACATGATCATATACCGAACCTCTTGTCTTCCCGCGCAAAAGAACACGCACCTGCCTCGAAAATTGCAATCACAACACTAACGTTCGAGACGACACCACAGTCGAAAGGGATGTGTCGAAGTCTTAACCACAATGGTAGACTACAGTACTGCGGCCCACGTGTACCCACTCATTCATTCGCACCTCACGCGTGTTGGCATTGATATACATATAAGCAAGCGCGGCGTCCGCCCATTTTTTGGTGGTGAGTATCGTCCCCGTTACCGAGTTTTGCTCACATCCGAATCTGTCTTTGGGTTCACTTTCTTACCCCAGTAAGTCCTCCCTAGGCGTTTGTTTATTCCGTTCCACATTTCACGATCCGTTCCGCGTCTCGTACCGAGAGATCGTATTCCGGATGTGCCACGATCCTTCCTCCTGCTGAACCATCGGCCCCCGTTGTCGGGCAAAAACAGGTTGAGAATGATTGGCATCTTCATGGGGCTGGTGTGCTCCTCCCACTTCGCGATCATCCTGGTTCCGGTATCCCGCGACAGCAAGATCTGGTCGGCCCTCGGGGTACCGTTCGAGCGGGCCGTGCTCTACCACGCCATCGCTGGCCACCTCGCCTTCACCTCCCTCTTCTTCCACGCCCTCCTCCTCACGGCGCACTGGGTCCAGTACGAGGGCTGGAGCCACGCCGTCCACGAGTCCATCCACTTCGACCCCAACACCCACGGAGGTAGGCGCCTACGGCTCTTCAGGAAACCCCTCTAGCCCTGCTCGTCCCAAGGAATTACTACAAGATCTTAACCTGGCAGTATTCTAGCGCGGAAGAGGCCGGTGTCTCGAATATCTGCGTCTCGAATCTAACATATTACATGTATGTACGTGTGGTGCGTGGGTAGACGAGTCGTCGTCTTTATGCTTGACGTTGTTGGTGGTGATATGGCAATGAGCCGCTCGCTCCATTGACGGATATTGTAGCGGCCGATCTTGTGCCCGGCCGCATGCTCCTTTCCGTTTTTCCTGCACCGGTGAGCCCGCAATCATCACCCGTGGTCGCAACGCGAAACGATGAAGGGGTCGTGACAACACACGAGAAAATAAACACCAGAACCTCTCCAGTGCTTGACTCCTTCCCTGCCCCCCCAGCCAGAAACTATCCCATGCCCTATCTATGGTTCCACCGGTCATCGACACTCGGATGTACCAAGGACTAAGCAACTCTACCCACACGCTCCACCTTGTCGTCCCATTCCTCCCACACCTTCTTTGTGCCCAAGGCGTGGACACTCCCATGGGTTGGATGGCTGGACTCTGCGCGATCCCGATGTGGGCTACCTCGGTGAACTGGGTCCGGCGAAAGTACTACAGCCTGTTCAAGCTCGCACACTGGCTCTTCATCGGCGTCTTCGTGTTCAGCGTCATGCACGTGCGTACATGACATTGTATCATCTTCATAATTTTGAAGGGAGAGGGGGGGGGTGAGCCGGGTGCATATATAGGACGAGACCCGGACAAAGTCCTTCATTCTACTTACGGGAAATAGGGGTTTAAGACTAGGTGCATCCAGTTACGTATTGGAACAGTTCTGCTGTTTTGTGTTTTCTGGGGCAGACCAAATTTGCCTTCTGCAAAAACGACGTGGTCCCCCGCCCGACGTCTCTCGTTCATGTAGTTTCACCGTGCACGTGTGTTTGGTCCACTCTCACTCAACATTTCATTCAGTGGTCGCTTGCAACAAGCAGGAAATGCTTCAAGCATGCGGACTTATGCGCATTCACCGACACTTGCTGTCACCTGCGGTGGCAGTTATCCCTAAGGTTCTCTCTTGTTTGTATCGCCGTCTGTGATCGTTTGTTGATTCTTCGCTCCTGCGCTTCAGTGGGCTCCCAACGCGCTCTACTTCCTGGGCGGGTTGACGCTGTACATCATGCACGTGCTGTCGAGATTGGAGTCGTGGAAGCGGTGAGTTTAATGCTTTCTCCTGTTGTACCGATGATGGGGGCTGGTTCATCCTTGACCGTGCGTCATGGCATTCGAGCTTCACCACGAACGAAGCGTATGCATACCGAGACTGACTGGGAGAATGTCGACCTGATTCTCAGCCATCCTCCCGCAAGCCCGATCCATGCCTCGCGCCTACCCTTCGCCACATATTCATTCGTACTGCGTGGCTCCTAGTCTTCTGGCCGGTAAAGCGTCAGTCCTCCCCCTCGCCGAATCCCGTGGATACGCTACTTCGTCCTCCTTCCTTCTAAATACACGTCAACTGGCACGTTCGAGCCACGTGACCTGCTGCCGACAAGAGCCTCATCTACTCTCCCAATCAAATCGCCCCCCACCCCACCCCCTCGCTTACTCCCGCTCAGGTGGCGTTACTGGAACCGATGGTTCAGCTCGGACGCCAGCAAGGCCAGCCCGACCAGCCTCGTCAGCGTGGCGACGAACGACAACTACACGCGGCTGGTGCTCCGCAACCCCAAGACCGGCGGCGTCGGGGACAGCGGCGACAGGTCCGCCCGTGGGGGATCCTTCGTGTACATCAGCGTCCCCGCCGCGCTCGGCACCGACGAGGCCCACGCCATCACCGTTGCACTCCGCGGAGCCCCCCCTTCCTTCTCACACGCGGCGAAACTCTCGAGCGGCAGAAACAGCGCCGCCCAGGAGGACGAGAACGACGTCTTCACCGTGTACATCAAGGACCTCGGGAAATGGACGAAGACCCTGAAGGACACGGCAAGGGGCGCGGAGGCCGCGGGGGACGCTCGCTCGCTACTGGTGGACGTGGACGGCTTCTACACCCAGGTCCAGTCGTTCAGCTCCATGAAGGTCGCGGGGGGGACGTCGCGCGTCATGGTGGTTGCCGGGGGGTCGGGAATGACTTCTCTCATGGGATTCATCCAGGTGAGAGGGTACGAGGGTATTTTGGCGGCGGTCCCATTCCCGGGGATCGGAAGTTGGAATACAAAGTCTACGGCGACAGCTCGGTACCGGGAGCCTCAGTTTGTGTTTTCAAGAGGTTGGGCAGCGCCGGCCATGCTACCTTACACACAGGCGACGTTTATGAACGAAACAAATGCGTCATGAGAGCGTTATGTGCCCTTGAAGAGTGGTACGTAGCGAGGTGCAGGATTTTCAATGCGCCCCGTCGGTCCTGACCCTCTTTCTCAGGACTGGGCTGTCGCCGCAAGGGAAGGCGCCGACGTTCCGGAGGTAAACCTGGCCTGGTGCTGCCGGTACATGTCGGAGATGGAACTGGTCGGCGAGTGTCTCCCCTCCGTGCTCGCCAGCGCCGGCAGCAAGAAGGACACGCACTTCTCGATGTCCCTCTACTGCAGCAGCAGCAAGGTGTGCCCTGCCGAGTTGTTGTTGTTCTCGGTTTTCCGCGTAGCTTCTGTCACCCGGTGCCGTCAATATACTCTGCAGCGGCGAGATAGGCGCGATCGCGAAGCCGCAAAGCTTTGTCGTTGTGGGCAAGCACAACTAGTCTCAATGCAGTCGCACTAAAGGGCCGTTGGAAAAGTAGTCTAACCCTTGCTGGGTTTTCACTACTGCGGCTCGGAAAATGGCATCGACGCTCGCTGGAATATGCATTTCTGGAACGTGAAGATCGCACCTACCCCAATCTCAGGTTTCCTCTCGCGCCCTGTCCGTCTGTACGTCTATCTCTCTCCCTCCCTCTCTCTGGCTCTCTGGCTCTCTGGCTTCCCTGAAACTTCTTCGCCCCAACACCGATGGCGAAACAATCGCCCAACATCACCAAAGGCTGACAGCAACGAATCTCTCACCGTCACATGGCCCCTGGACGCGAACGCCTACGCCCACACTAGCACCCAGGATAACGTCATCGGCACCGGCCACGTCGCCGCCAGCCTCAACCACAGCGTTCGCGTTATCGTGGCGGGTGAGAAAGCAGCACGTCAACACTCGATTGTGTTTGTACACCATGTAAAGCCAAACGCAATGTGGTGGCCATCTCATGTTGATACTTGATTGTGTTTGTCCACCCTGTAGGGCCCCGCACACTACCGATTCGGAAGAAAGGCCTCCGGAAATTTCCCAACAACGACATTTTGTTGTGTGCGACCACATGCGTGGGAGGTAAACATCGGTAGTTGGTGTTGGCCGAGGTCCTCCACGCGGAGGAATACGCGATTAATAGTTGAGTGTGTAGTTCGGTCAGGTGCCCAGGGAATCGGCCAGACACCGTCAGTAATGTTCAGAGTCCAAAACAACTTTGATTATTTCACTCTGTGCCGGCCAACAAACCAGCACAGTACCGGGCACCGGCACTAAACAGGCCTTCCCCACTGTACCACCAATGCATACGACATGACAGGTCTCGCCGCGTTCGCGGGATACATCCTGGGCTACTGGGAGGTGGACCGACGGGACCTGATGAACGTGTTCCACGAGGGGGCCATCATCTTCGTCCTCATGGTGATCTGCATCATCAGCTCCCTGATCGTGTACGATTGGCTCTTCTTCTTAGTCCGTAAGCACCTCCTCGGCAAGCGTGTGGACAGCGCCGAAGCATCGCAGGTGAATGGGAGTCCGCAAGCCGTTGTTAATGTTTTTGGTCGATACGGCATTACGCGGTGGTGCTACGCTTTCGCGGGATCCGTCACGTGATCCTTCGTGTAATCGAGAATTGATCATATCACGATCGAGTCAGGTGCTGCTTGTGTTCCGTGGAACACGCCGAAGCATCCCCGAGGGGGGGGCGCAGCCATCATGTCTGGTTGGTTCATGATACTGCTAGATCTCGTTTCTGCAACCGTTCCCCTTCCTAAATTCGCCTTGTCGCAACCTACATAATATTGTCGCTGTGTTCATTTAACTCGAGGTAACCGCCTCTTCTTCTGATAGACACGGACAATATGGCACTGATGCTTCAACAGCCCCCCACTGTATATCCTCATTCTTTCGCCTCGTTATCGCCCACCGTCGTCATTGCGGCCGCTCACTCATCACCAACCCCGTATACCTTCATCCACGCCATTTGTTTTAGGCCAGCGGGCGCTCCGCCAGAGTCGGCGAGGAGTCCAAGATGGACCTCGAGTCCTCCACCGTGGCCGGCGTCGGCAGCGTCACCTACGACGTCAACCCGGGCCGCGTGCCCACGCAGGCCCTCCTGATCCGGGAGGCCGAGCTCGCCAAAAAGAGCAACACCTCGTCCGTCAGGGTCCTGACCAGCGGACCCAACTCGCTCGTGGACGGGGTGCTCGCCGAGTCCCGCGCGATCGACTGGAAGCTCTTCGACACCGAGGCGTTCTCGTTCGAGTTCTAATTTTGTTTTTCCCCGGCCTTTCTCCCTCCCGTGGTTTATGTATTCGGAAAGATTGTCCCGTCTTTCTCACGTCAGAAGACGCCCAGCTCCTCCGGGTGCTGCGGCGACACTCTTCAAGTAACCTACGCCGGCCGCGCGATCGAGTGTTTTTGTATTTATCGGTCTCGCTTTCTATAATTTCGTCGGGTCTTGCGTGACAAGAAGACGCGACCGACCCTCTTGGGGAGAATCGTTGAGGGCGTGAAGACAATTATCGGGCAGGGGGCGGGGGCTGTTGCCTTTATGAAGCGTGACGAACCAAGGTTTCATTGATTGGCAGTTGCAGATGCCGCCACAAGTTTTTTGTCGTTGTAACAAGTCGTAATTGTTGTATATTTCATAGTCGTTGCACAGGACGAAGACAAGACGGAGTCTCACCCAAACATAACATATGGCACGCGCAGTTTTTTGTTGATGTAAGAGCTCAGGCAACAACCGGAACTCAGTATTATAGATACAGGAAGGTTTGTTCGTCGAAGCAGATAGAATAAACTGGTGTTTATTTTGTAACAGTCGAATTAGAATTTGGCTTCATTTTCTACCGGAAACCCAGGGTCACGGTGTTTGGAATTATTAGTCTATAGTTGGGGGTGTCATTCCGTGATCGAGTCCACGCAGGGGCTGTAGCAAAGTCGGGTAACGTGTGACAGCTACAGAGCGCGTGAAGCAACGGAAGGACAGCAGCAGCCGCCTAACGCAGTAGCGGCGGCAGTTTAGAAAAGGGCGGGACGGGACACGGCGCAAGCATTGGGGAAGTGACCAGCACGCGACTCTCCATATAAAGGTGTGTACTCGTGTCCAACATCCATCGTGTCGGCCGTGTTCCTATTCGCGTCCCGCTACTCTTGTGACCTCACCGCTGCGTGCATTTAGCACGAGGGGGGAGGGTGCAGTAAGATAAGCGGCGGCAAGCCAACGCAGTCTCGCTCGCCGCGCCGCTCAGATAGGTCCCTTCCCAAACATGGGATGCGGTTCATCCCAACCGAGACGTACTCTCGCTGAAGAAAAAAAATGCGGTTCGTCCCAACCAGACGTACTCTCTCTGAAGAAAAAATTCAACGGCAAAAAGAAAGAGCGGGGCCTGTTGTATGGTCGCACGCTGACTTGTCGCGGTTGATAGCAGCCATTGTACTGCACGGGGTGGAGGAACCCTGCGGCATCGGACATAACCAATCGACCCGCGGCAGTAGGGCATGATGCTGTCACGATTATGCACATGAGGCAGGTGCCTTGTTTTCTGTTTCCCCCGGCTTACTAGGGACTACTTGCCGGTACAATCTTGTCTGTGCCGCGCACAGAGGGGCATATAGCTGAAGGAATCGACGATAATATGCCCACTCACGTAAGCAATCGTCTCCACGGATGGTATTGACAAGTCCCCACTGATGGTATCGACAAGTCCCATGGCATACAAAGCGGCCGCATACGTAATCGGAAAGTGCATTCAACAGCATTCACGGGAACGGATAAAAGCAAAAACACATGCATGCGAGAGAAAGACTCAAAGAAAAAGACTGAAAAACAATGAAGACGAGAAAAAAAAAACGAGACAGCGAACTACGTGCTGTATGCATAAGGAAAAAGAAGATGAGAAAAAAATAGGGGGGGGAGGTGGATGTGACACGCGAGGTTCGAACTCGCGAGGAACGTCAGGTAGCGGTCCATGTGAGTGCATCACGGTCTCGAGGGGCATCACGTCAAATTTTATTGCCGCCGTGACACAAACCTTCTATAAGAATACGTCACGTCCATCGACGATTAAGCGACCAAAAACGCCCGGACAGCAATTGATGCATGCCAAAAACTCGTCAACCTGCCGTAGGATTGTCTATGCGGAAGTGATCTCAATGAAAATAAAAAAAACAAGGACACGCACCAGCACGGGACGCGCCAATAGTGGAAGCACTCGTCCGTGCTGTTGGCGAGTGGAAGTTAACCGATCTCAACGCAACGAAACACGAAGTCATACATGTATCAGCACGGGATGCGCCAATGAGTGGAAGCACCCGCGCTGTTGGCGAGTAGAGTTAACCGAATTCAACGCAGCGGTAGAAAAATACCACAAATCATGCATCAGTACGGGACGCGCCAATGAGTGGAAGCACCCGTGCTGCATATGTGATGTCAGCCTCAGCACGGGACGCGCCAATGAGTGGAAGCACTCGTGCGGTTGGTGAGTAGAGTTAACCGATCTCAAAAAGAAAGAACAAAACGCCGTACATGTATCAGCACGGGACGCGCCAATGAGTGGAAGCACCCGCGCTGTTGGCGAGTAGAGTTAACCGAATTCAACGCAGCGGTAGAAAAATACCACAAATCATGCATCAGTACGGGACGCGCCAATGAGTGGAAGCACCCGTGCTGCATATGTGATGTCAGCCTCAGCACGGGACGCGCCAATGAGTGGAAGCACTCGTGCTGTTGGCGAGTAGAGTTAACCGATCTCAAAAAGAAAGAACAAAACGCCGTACATGTATCAGCACGGGACGCGCCAATGAGTGGAAGCACCCGCGCTGTTGGCGAGTAGAGTTAACCGAATTCAACGCAGCGGTAGGAAATACCACAAATCATGCATCAGTACGGGACGCGCCAATGAGTGGAAGCACCCGTGCTGCATATGTGTTGTCAGCCTCAGCACGGGACGCGCCAACGAGTGGAAGCACTCGTGCTGTTGGCGAGTAGAGTTAACCGATCTCAAAAAGAAAGAACAAAACGCCGTACACGTATCAGCACGGGACGCACCAATGAGTGGAAGCACCCGCGCTGTTGGCGAGTAGAGTTAACCGAATTCAACGCAGCGGTAGGAAATACCACAAATCATGCATCAGTACGGGACGCGCCAATGAGTGGAAGCACCCGTGCTGTATATGTGTTGTCAGCCTCAGCACGGGACGCGCCAACGAGTGGAAGCACTCGTGCTGTTGGCGAGTAGAGTTAACCGATCTCAAAAAGAAAGAACAAAACGCCGTACACGTATTAGCACGGGACGCGCCAATGAGTGGACGCACCCGTGCTGTTGGCGAGTAGAGTTAACCGAATTCAACGCATCGAAAACGAAGTCGTACACGTATCAGTACGGGACGCGCCAATGAGTGGAAGCACCCGTGCTGCATATGTGTTGTCAGTTTCAGCAAGGGACGCGCCAATGAGTGCTGTTGGCGAGTAGAGTTAACCGATCTCAAAAAGAAAGAACAAAAACGCCGTACACGTATCAGTACGGGACGCGCCAATGAGTGGGCGCACCCGTGCTGTTGGGCGAGTAGAATTAACCGATCTCCACGCATCGAAAACGAAGTCATACACGTATCAGTACGGGACGCGCCAATGAGTGGAAGCACCCGTGCTCATATGTGTTGTCAGTTTCAGCAAGGGACGCGCCAATGAGTGGAAGCACCCGCGCTGCGTACAAG